AGCAATGGATGAGCTCACCCAGCAGTCTCATGTAGATATTAAATAGGAGAGGGGAGAGCACTGAACCCTGTAGCACCCCACATAGTAGGGGCTGAGGGCAAGACCTCTCCTCCCCAGTCATCACCAACTGGAATCGACCCTGTAGAAAGGAGGCAAACCAGCACAGCACTGTGCCGCCCACTCCCAATCCCCTGAGCTGATCCGGAAGGATGCACAACCTCCATCCTGCCCACACCAGAGATCATCCAGAAGTGTGATCAATGCTTTTTCTGTCCCATACCCAGGTCTGAATCTGGACTGAAAAGGATCCAGATAATCCACTTCATCCAAGGACCTCTGAAGCTGTTGCACAACCACCTTCTCAACCACCATACCCAAAAAAGGGAGGTTCGATACCGGACTTATTTATTGACTTATATGCCCCCCCCATCTTATTTACAATAATCCTGGGTAGCTCACAACAACAGCAATAAAAACATAAAAAATAAACAATAATACAAAACATCAAACTTCTCCCCACACCATAACAACACTATTCCAGCTACACATTTGCTGGGCCCACATCCCTTTCCTAGCAGAGCCCTTGGGGGGGGGGGGGAAGCCAGCTCTTCCTGGCTTTCCAGAAGGCTAAAAGGATAGGGGCCCTTCAGATCTTGGGTGGGAGGCCGCTCCATAGGGCCAGGCCTCCAAGGAGAAGGCACACCTCCCACGTCCCACCAGATAATAACATTTAAGGGAAGGAATCTGGTGATTGCTGGGTTACAATTACAACTTGCAACAAATGTCACAATAAGCTGTTTCTTTGTGCTTTGTTCTTACTGCCTGTTTACCATAGCTAGAATAAATCAAGAATATATTTACTATAGATCAGTTTACACAGATTTCAGGAGAGCAATTGTTCTTGCTAAAACTCATCAGAGCTAGCCCTGCAGTCATACTGTAGTAGCCAAGCTAAGTAGCCAAGCTACATAAAGCTATGACTTTGTTTGGATTTATTTGGCCAATGACTCTGGGTGGCTTACATCTCAAAAGTAAAGAAGAAAAAAATGAAAGAAAAAAAGATATGCGTGTCCAGAACAAACAACCCAATACATCAAAAGAAAACTAACAGAGTCTCAACAACTACCCTATACCCAGACATGGGAGCAAAGCCAGGTTTTCATTGATTTGTTGAACAGCTGCAGGGTGGAAGCTATATGGATCCTCATCACTATTACACACTTCTAAACTCCCTTCAGTTTATCAACAGCTCTGGCTGCCTTGCCAGTTTAGTCAGACCTCTATCTGGTGTCCTAGATAGACCACTTTCACATAGGCATCAGATGTTAAATAAGACTGAATATTGAAAAGGAGGAGAATAGCCTTTTACACAAAGCCAAGGAACAACTTCTTCCAGTAGCAGAAGAACATATTTAATTCAAATAGTGCATTACTGAACATAAAGGATGAGCACATTTTTGTTGGTGTGAACCAGGCTTAATGGGTTGGAGAGATGCAAGAACAGGCAGGCAATAGCACAAAGTGGGGGCTGTAGTGTACATGGATGGAATTGTGTTACGAGGAACATTTTTTTTTAGGCAGAAGGGAAGAGTAGGGGATTTAAGAAAAGTTAAAATCAAATTAGTTTTTTGGTGTGCTCTCCATCCCCAAATGACAGGAAACTGAAATCTAGTGGTTCGGGTGGAGAGAGCTCCAAGGTTGCAGAAAAGGGGCTTAGGGTCCAAATGCAGCCTAAGGGCCACAGGATGCCCACTCCTGTTGTTCATGAGACAACTTGTGTTTATGTGTGCATACATGCATGCACATTTAATTAAAGCAATGTTGGGACAGAGTATAGACCCTCTGCGCTCTTGCTAGCCTGAACCCAACAAGGGATTTATGCAAACCCAAATAGCAGCAGAAGAAAGGTTATTATTATATTCATAGTACAGCAGAACTCAAATATTTGAGTGTCAGCCCATCCCTCCCACAGTACCCTTTTTGAGCTGATTAATATGTTTCTTGATTGACAGAATTAAATATGGCAGTTCTGTTTTATATTATTTGGGTTTTATTAGAATGAGTAGCCATGAAAATGCAGTATTCAGCCACATTTTTGTGATAACGCAGAACCTGCCTGCCGTGTTACATTGCCATCTGCCTCTTCAGAGCAGTAATCTGGTGAATAATGTCAAGGAAATCTTTTACTTCTTAGCTGTAAGGGACAGTAGTTGGTTCCAGTGTGGAATGATTTAAATTAGTGGTGTAAATCACCAAACAGAAACTTCTGGTTTAAAGCACATTAATCAGATTTTCAATTTGAGGAAAATATTGAGGAAAAATCAGCCTATCCATAATGCAAAGCAAGTAAAGTCATAATTGGTCCTCTCCCCAGTGTCACAGACCCAGGCTAACCTGTTCTCTTTCTTTCAGGTTATACTCCTCAGGTGGCCAAAACTGACTGGGTGGCTAAACTCATTGGTTTAACACTAATAGTTCAAACACAGATACTGCTTCTATTATCACAGTGA